ATTATAAACAAAAACTTCGCAGATAACATTGAAATTATAATGAGATTCGCCATCAACTACAAACAAAGGCAAACAGGAGTATTGTGTCCGGACGACAGGATATAAAAGAGGATTGGTTTCTGTTATGATAGAACGAAAGTGACAAAAATGTGCTCTTAACAGAGCTAAATTAAAACGATATTAGCACACATTTTACTCTGTTGAGAGACACCAGTTACGTTCCTTATAATTCGGCAAATACTGCGTTTATACAACGATGCATGGAAATAAAATGTTGAGAAATACTTCAGCGAGCTCATGTCAAAAAGGGGATGTGTTGCTAATGGTCAGACACGAATTAAATTCGCATAATATCGTTCATTGCAAAACCCCAAAACAGCAAATGCCATAGAAACCTTTTTGAATACTGTCCGAGATTACGAGTGAACACGAGGACCGGTAGGTAAAGAGGTAACGGTAAAGTTGTTCCTATGCTTAATTAATTACGCACCACGTCATGGAAACGTAAAGGGGACTGGAGGTACAACTCCACCGATCTCGACCTCAGCACTAGATGGAGGTAAGTTGTCAACTTCACCCTCCGGCCGCTTTACCCTCCCCCAGATAAGAGTCTGCATGGGCCCCAGGGCCGGTCTGGAGGCTATGGAGAACAGAAAAATCTCTTCTCGCTGCCGGGAATATAACCCCGACCGTTCAGCGCATTGTAGGTCGCTATACTACTGAGCTACTGAACTACGCAGTCTCGCCGATATACGAAGAGAGAGGAATTTTTTAATAAAAGAAAAGAGGCAAAACCTTTGGTAAGTAGTTTAGGAGCTCGCCCCTGACAACAAACGAAAACCGAATCCTACAGTTTCCGGTACATTTAGCACACAGAGAATATAAATAAATTTGCAACACAGAGTAAATCCTGGCGCTCCTGGATTCAGTGGAACCTTCTGTATAATTTTCACACTTGGTGAAGTGCAGCTGTTGACACTGTCCACTAAGTGTTTGCATTGTTCTCAACGACATCAATCAGGCCGGAACGACATGAAACACACGAAGCGAAGTCACGTGTTTACAAAGACAGTTAGTTTCGAAACCAACCGGCTGACTGATGGCTTGTTTGACAACACTGTGTCAAGTGTATAGTTTATAATATTACAATGGAAAAGCGGACGTGTACCTTTGTTCTTTATGGAAAAGTGTCTGCAACAATTAAACCACTTTCACTATCACACACTAAAACCAAACAATTCCAGTTACCGTATGCACTGTTCTATTCCGTTAATATAAAGGCTATTTTACTATAATTACACGTACATATCACGTTGGTGGCTACTTCACAGGACAGACATACAGACAGTCTGGAAGTTGAAGAAAGTCGTCTTCTGGGTTTTGCCGCCGTGTATTCTTCGTTTTGGCTGACGTTTCGCAGGAACGTATCGCCTCCATCTTCAGAGCAGGTGAATGGCTTGTGAATGCAGAGAGCAGNTTCCTGCGAAACGTCAGCCAAAACGAAGAATACACGGCGGCAAAACCCAGAAGACGACTTTCTTCATAGTCATCGCCGTGAAAACCTCAAAACTTACACAGTCTGGAAGTTGTTTGTGACAGAACCAGAACCGAAGTAAACTTTCATTTTAAATATAAAATAGAAGTACTGAAGCGGCAGGAAAATGCAAGAATGTCCTACACTATCACCAAAGTCACCCTCCCAAAAGTTTCTGACATTTTCGCAAATGAGAATCAGGCAACAGAACCGTTTCAGAATACACATTCAGAGCGATGTGAAGGAAACGCCACTGACAAATTCAACGCTTATTGCGATCCCTTCGTGCGAAGCAAGACTCAAATAACCAGTCGACCGAATAACTAACATCACAAGACCTGTCCTGTGTCGAAAGTCTGCCACACGCAATCGCTCCAACAACTAACCCTCTGCGGTGATGAGGAATTGCGAATTTCGAGACGTGATACTGTTCGTTGAACCAGCAGACCATAAAGTTGTGTCACCTCGTGGTGAGACCTGATCAAAACGTGTCATCCTGTACTTCTCGCTAGGCGGTTCGCACTACAAGTCGATCATAGGTTCTATTTGTCTCCAAATTTCCCAGAGTCCGTCTGGGAGAATCTTGGCATAGCACCGAGATTTTATTTGCTACTCTGCTAGAACTCTGAAGTAGCACATTCCAGTTTATATCAGCCCACAAATCTTCAATGTGGTTTCAATGTTATTTAACATCCTCGCGGCCGTTAATCTCGGTAACTAAAAGTCTAGAAATTATTAAATATTTTTCAGCATAACAAATATCATGCTTCACCTATAATTGTTTATCAGCACGGTTACGTACATATTCAGTTCACGCCTGCGCCTTTCACATACATTCCCAGGGATGTCTGCTCCCTCGTCCGTTAGCGTGTTTCAGTTAGAGAACTTCGATATATAGGATCCATGGACCCGGAGTCCATGCTATGTTAACTGCGGTCAGCGAGTTCTCTATAGGTTCAATAGAATATAATTTTAACGAAAACAGCTCATGTAGTTAAGGGAAATTGGATAATGGGAAAGTCATGGTGAAATGTGGGTGCATCAGAACATGACAATACACATTCCAGTACTACATGGTATTACTGTTTAGTGTACAGTATACTTATTTTTTTATTAATATTAATTTATATAATTGTAGCTGTAATTGTATTTGTTGTTGTAATTGTATTTTCATTGTATTTACTGTGTGCTAGCGTGTCCTTTGTTGTTTGTATAGTTTTGTGTGCTGTGTTCTGTTTGAGTGTGGTGTGTGTTATTTGTGTGTTGAGTCTTATTGTAGTATCTACCACCGGTCAAAAACACATTTGCAGCCAAAATAATAATAATAATAATATACATTTTGGATAAAACATAGATCTGATTAAGGTACACAGCTCTTTTTTAAATTATTCTTCGTACGGTGTATGTTTAAGAAACGAGGATAATGAACTTGGGAATGACAGAAAAAACAACAAAACTAGTCCGTTCTTCTCACCTGTGAGAAACCTTCTGCAATTTTATTGACATTATAGGAGAGCATGATGTTTGTAAGTATATCATGAAATTATAAAAGATAAAACAATTCCGTCCAGTGCGACTGGTGAAGTTTTCCTTATTTCAATTCTTCATGCCCTTATGTGTTTCGGTCCTTAGAGACCATCATCAGAGGGACACACAGCGCGCCACGAAAAACCACAGGACATCAAAGAACCTCCTTCTCAAGAAAGACAGGCAGCACAAGTTCGGCCCCCGCCAGAAGAGGTGATAAGAGAAAGGACACGAACCCACTTGGTTTATAAATTCTAACTTAAATAATAAAAGTTTAAAAAGTGTTAATATATCAAGACAGTCACTGTAGTTGTGAAAACTTTGGATTTTGTATCTTTTTGTGTATTGTCAGCATTGTATATGTATATATTTTAACATTCAGAACACCCACTGTAATATTGGTTTCCAAACTGTATCGATGTCCCTCTGATGATGGTCTCTAAGGACCGAAACATGTAAGGGCATGAAGAATTGAAATAAGAAAAACTTCACCACTCACACTTTTATAATATTGTTAGTGTGACGGACCTGAATGAAACAAATCAAATTCATCTCATGAAATATTTTAAAGGGATCATTTTTGGGCCTACTGACCCAAGATATAATATTTCAAATACTGTTATATGCCTTGGACAGTCGTACAGCAAGACAAATTATTTTTTATCAAAATACTCCTAAAGGAAAAAATAATTTTCTCCAAAAAGAAATTGTTCATATGTAACATGTCGCCTACAAATTAGTTCAATAATTTGATTTATTTATCTTAATTTAATTCTATTTATTTGCTGTGATCGCGTATGGCCTAAATTGCAACTTCTCTCTTTGAAGATCTTCAGTGAAGCGAGTAAAAATTTCATACACATTGGATAAGTGGTTCTTAAATTATATCAGTATAAATATATGAAAGGTTAGGAAAATGGAAGGATTAATCAACCAAAGTTTAAGATGAAGTTGGGCCTAGAAGGCTCCAGATGCAAGTATACAGCATTTCTTTACCAGAATACTCTTAAGTTATCAAGCTCCCATCTCCAGGAATTAATCTTTCATGTAGCTCTTTCTTTACCTCCATCTTAGCTTCAATTATTTTATTTTATTTTTTTACGAACATTAAAATGACGTACCACTACCCCTGGAGATCATTCAGGGACACAAAATGATCTGCTTACTATCTAATACTATATTGTTTGTCTCTTTGCAGTGCTATATATTAAGTGTGGTTACCTTTGTAATAATACGTTTCAATCTGAAATTAATAAAAACCAAGGCCAGAGAACTATACAAATTAGCAACTAATCTATTTGGAATATGCATGTACTTTTTGTGGTTTCCTTCAATTACTAAATGTTAATGGTTTGATGTAGACCAAGAGTTCCTTGCGGTATTTCTTTTTGCCTTCTTGACAATCCGTATCTTCCTCATGCCTTGTTTGAATATACATAACATATGGAACTTGTACGTCGTTAAGTGGCATACAAATTCAACGGGAAGATAGCAACGACACAGAACAGGACTCCTAAAATCTCCTGAGCATGAAATTTGTGCTCAGTGTGTTGCGTAGCGTAATTTGTGTGAACCTCATCACCGAGTGTAGTGACATGTTCAGCCAACTGAAAATCAACCTGTTGGACTACAGACAGTGTCCATCAAAATGGGATCTCAAGCAGGGCTTACAACCTTACGGTGAGTGGATACGAGAAATAAAGGAGAAAACAATTAGGCAAGCTTATGCTCGTACGTTTAAAAACACAACCCACAAGAGGGGCTAAATCAGCAGAACTAGGATAATACATAAAACTACATAATTAGGAACTTTGTTACTTATAGAGGTCATCTAATGTTGTTAGCGTAAGGAGGCAAAGTTGTCCCTATATTTAATTATGCACCATGCCACGAAGACTTGTGGCATAGAGGTACAGTTCCACACATTCTTAACCTCGGCATTAGAAGGAAGGGAGTGGTCACTTCACATGCCGGTAGCATTGCTGTAACGGAGCGAACAGAAGAGACGACAGCGCCTTCCAAGACATCTGCAAGGAATTGCCTGCTTTCACATTTACCACAACGGCACAGAGCAGAAGATGTTGCTAGACCTGGGGTTCCAGTGAAGTTGAATAGTGGCGACTGTTGTGTGTATCTGCCCTCCTCTTTTAATCATTTCAATTCGTTTTAACGATGCTGCCTGTCCCTAACCACAAAATGTCGATGATAGAATGATTAATGATAGTGGAGGAGTCGGTGGAAAGAGAATTGGTAGGGGAAACCGAAGCACCCAGATAAAACTCGTTACAGAGGCATTTCGTCCACAGATGTCACATGACCTGACCTGACATATCTTGGTGAAATCACTGTATGAGAAGCCTCTTGTTTTCGCGAGAGTGAAGCTACTTCCGTACTAGTCTATTTTACTCAAAAGCTATCTGCACCAATTGGTCTGTACTCTTCAAAGGAGTTCAGAAGAATACAAAAATTGGCATGATATACGACAATATTTAGTCCATTATTATACAGATAATACTAATCGGATAAAAATGCATTACTACGAAATTTCAGCAGGCACTCACGAGGCTGGATTTGAGGTTCTCATGGTGATGCCTGTGAAGAGTATGGTTTTCTGGGTTGTAATTCCGTGTAGTGGGGAGAAAACGCGACGTTCCAGAGAAACACACCGCCCCCAGCTTCAATGTCTAAGAGTAAACCAAGTCAGAAACTAAGCAGAAGCAAGCAGGAAGGTGAGCTCAGCTTGTCGCAGTTTGCTGACTAATTCAGCCGGCTCGGCTCTCTCTCCGACACTGGAGATGTAGCGGACAAGTTCCTCTCCAGGTACACGTCAGCGCATCATTTCACCATCCATCAACGGACTGAGTCTGGGTCCAGTTTTTTTATCTCTTTTCCAGACTACAAGCCCTGTGAGTTATCCTCTTTCGGTTCACGTAGAAATTGTGACGAGCGTATGGCTTTTTGCAACGCTTATTGTATTATTGGCTCTGTAATTCATAAAACGGGATCTCGTGAATTTTGCAGAAACTTGCATTTTAATGCAAGAATAATATATAGCGCAGGCCTTTATAATAGGAACCGAAAGAAAGTTACGTACCTGCAAAATAATTATGCGAACATTCTGCACTAGCAACAGGCTGAGAGGCTGCTAGGAAGCTCAGCTCATCTAAGTTTCAGTGGTGTTGCTGTTGACCGCTGGGGGCAGCCCAAAAAACCTGGAAGAAAATATCGACAGCTACAAACCTGTTAAGAGAGACAGAAATATAAGCCTCGTTTTGTAGCCAACAGCCACAGGGTTTCTTTCTTGTGGTAAAGTTGCTTTTATCAATATAAACTGTAAATTCATAGCATACATTTGAAAATATTAAACAAAATGTTAAAGAAAATATTGGTTCCTGAAGAACATGGCAATGGAAGATGTAAAGCGGAAGGAAATTACAGAACATTGCTACAGTGCTGGGATCGAGAAAGCTGCCGTGTGCACTTTGAAGTGGTGAAGTAACAAAATGACAGAATATTCTGTAGAAATTCTTTCGATAAATTTAGGCAAAAGGCCACGAAGAAAGATCGGTTTCATTAAGGACTTCTGGACATAAGTTGTAAGGACAGGAAATGGATGAAACTACTTCAGGATTGGGTGCAGTAGTGGACTCTGAAATTAGTTGCTTTGGAACTTGTGGTTGTTTTACGGGAGAGATTCTAATATGCCCTTATTCATAAAATGGAAACAATATTTATGTGGATATTCTCCATGTCCCCTCTTTCACATCGGGCGTAGTGATAACAACAAGTGCCCCTCTTCACTCTCTCTATAATCTAGTACTGTTTTCTACTCTTGCTATGTCTTTTTCACGTTCCCTTTCCTTTCCTATCTGTTACGTCATGATTACCACGCCTCACTACATTACGTCGCATATCAGAAGTATGTAAATTTTCTCATTTCAAACGGAGATGATAAGCTATATTAGAGAAAATTTGGATAATGTGAACCACATATTTTTTCTCCTTATTAAGATTCCATCCGGTCTAGAAAACCTAGATTAAAGGCCGTGGGGATCCGTTGCGCTGACCACGCGCTATCCGCTAAAGTTCGCACTAACTTCGCTGACAAGCGGGAGTCCCTCGGTCGGTATAATCAGCTTGCGGACTAGAGGCCACGGAGTTTGTTTGTTTGTTCAGATTCTGTACTTGATTCTTATGACAATAACTGCCTTGGGATTTTACAATTTTCATACCAAAACTTGAAAATGTTATATCAATTTCTGTCCATCCCTGCTTTGTATTTCTATAAAAATTCCACTCTCTCTGACATGTTCGAGTAAAAGGATTTCTGGGTGCACTTCAGCTGACATTCATGAGGCTTCTAAAAAAGAAGAGTATATTTACATTATCACACATGGAAAAAGTTCGAAAATTAATGTTAATTTATAATCAGTCATATATGGATTAACCAAAATGTGAAAAAAACCTATAATCATTAATTCGGCTTTTGAAATATCTTCTGATAAACTGTATGTCCATCAAAACCCGTAAATATTAAAGCTGCTTTAACAAGAATACACAAATATCCATTACGTGTATAGGCTAAATGCATTTCACTTAAAATTTATAAAAATTGCAGAACTATAATGCTTTAATTATGAAATGCTAGTTGCAGAACGTCTACCATAACACATACTCTGCAATTATCGATGACATTATTAAAAATTTAGAGGGAAAATAAAAAAACACAGATACAAAACTGTACGTTGAATTCCACATGACTGGCTAGTCGCGGTGACAGTCGTAATAACACAGTGGGCTGGATTCCTGCTTGGTTTATTCTTCGACCCCGAAGATGGAAGTGTCGCGTTTTTCCGGAATATCGGTTCACTTTCAGTGGGTTACCTGGCGTTATATCCCACAAGATATGGCTATGGCTCTTCGTTCTTCGCCTTTGTCATGCATAGAGTGTACATACATGTACCATATTATTTAAATGCATGTGTATATTACAATATACGTGGCATGTATCAGGGCTCTGGGAGTCCAGGCCTTGTACAGCATATAATGCCTCTTAACTGGAGCCCAGTCCCTTGAAAATCTGTAAGCTTACCCGTCGTCAAGTTTAAGCCTTTTGTGTTTTCCATGTCGAGCCTCGCCTTCTGCCATATTGCGAACATTTACACATTTGTGATTTCGAATGGCTTCTAATTGTTGCCTGAATAATATTTATGTAAACATAATGTTACGGTGCTCTGACAGTGACATGTAAATGGCGAACTAGTGTGGAGCTTAGACAACTGTAAGTGGTACGTCGAGCCTTGCACTACAGGCGTTAAAATTTCAATACATAGATCTCCGCAGCAAATTCTCAGACAGGGCAAGAATAACTCATCTGTCTAATTGGTCCTTAACGCGGGTTAAATTCATACGAGCACCTAATCGCTCACTTAAATGTTATGGTGGCTTCCGCTTTGATCAGCTCTATGTGCAATCTCCATATAATCCGTTTATCAGAAATTACACCGCGATATCTTACATTATTTGCAGAACTGGATTTCCATTCTTTCAGTGTAAGATGAGCCTTAACCGGTCCAGTGGGCAACACCATATGTCGAAGATACACAGCTGTCTCCTTACTGCGAGCTATACCTTCCTTACAAAGTTATAGCCATTAGAGTCCGTCATATTCTGAAAAGCCGACGTTTTGATATCACTTTCTTCGTGACGCGCGGCGACCGCAGGTGCCCACGTAATGACGAACTTCGTTTTGGCCTTTACAACACCTGACAGTCTTGCTCAAAATATGTGGCACATTAATGTAGACAAATAGACACTAATACGGATTACATTTCGAATAAGTATGAAAGAATTTGAGCGTTCGTGCCAAACTGCACGTGGTACAGAGGTCTGAATGAAGAAATCCTACATCAGTAGAACATACAGACCGAACTGGTACAAGGCCGCAGATTCCAACGCAGTTGTCCGCGAGAAACGGAAGAGAACAACAAACAAGTGTAGAACGACTTGGATGGTTATTCTAGCTTTCAACGAAATATGTCATGCAAGATCTGCAGGAGGTAGAACAGTTTTACATAAAGAAGGTCTAAATGTCGGCTAAGAAGAACTCGCATACGCTGAGATCAGTGAGTGGTGTCTTACGGCTTAGGAACTCAGGGATGTACAACATACACGAAAATGTGGAAAAGTATATACAGGAGAGAGAGTTCAGCCAATTGAAAGAATAAAGTAAAAGTAAAAAGCAAAGCTATCCCTGTAACAGGCCGTGGAGGCCCATAGGGTTGTGAGAAGTTGAGGTTCTCACATTATCTAGACAGTCGACTCATAGATGGCGGCAGGATTCTCAGCCTTACGCGCCGGCCGCCCTTTACCACAAAGAATATTCCAATAATATTCCTGGCACTCATTTCTGTTAGAGGCTGAGTCAACCCCAGGGTCATAGTGTGACTGGAAGGATCAGTTCAATTGAAAGCAATCCAATGACCTCATCGCGACTTGAACCCGCCACCTTCCTGTTTGTAGCATAGTGCCTCAACCAACTACGCTACCGCGATATAAGTTTTTCGAAAATTGGTGTTTAGCCCACCAGTGATGCGGCTTATCGCCCTAGAAGATTTTAATTCACGTAAGGATTCAAAAACTGTTAACTTTGAATCTTAAAACGCTCCTGTAAAATTATGCTTAAAAGCTGAATTCTTACATGCGAAGAAACACACCACAGCTCTGTTACGATTGCCTGTCGGTTAATGTTTAAAAGATGAAACAAAGACTATAAGTAATTTGTATTTATAAAATGTTGCATTACTGCGTATCAAAGCAGACTGAGAAAGAGTTCACACTACCTTACCAAAGTACACTGTGATAGAAATGCTAGAAAATATTACGAGATCACTTGTGCCACTTTTGCTGCTAATGTGTAGGCACTAAACAGCTCTTCACATCACGACGTTAGCGAAGCCTGACGGATCTGCACCCATCCACGAAAACGGCTCATGGGCGGATGACTTCAAAAGGACGAAGAGAAGTCGACCCCTCGATTTAAAAAAATGATTTCCGGGTTCATACAGTGTAAACTTAGACCTTTAATCAAAACAGAGTGTTGCTGGATATGCAGCTGAAAGAAACAAACGACAGGATGTTGTCACATTTCATTTGCAGCCTCCATGACACTGGATGGACACGATTTTCTTCCACTCATAACATGAACATTTCGTGGCGGAGAGGCTCCTGCCGTAAGAAGAAAATGGCAAGGGGCGGAAGCGTCTCTCTGACCTGAGTTGAATTGGAACCCGTGATCCCAGCATATCGGTGGCCTAAACTGAAGTACCGTAATCAGTATGTGATGATGGAAACACAGGAGTGTCATCTGACTGCCCAAATTCCTGTGTGACCTCTACTCAAAGTGACAGAGATGGCTACACAAAGTTTATAGAGTCATTGCTAGATTCTTCTTCGTAAGAGATGACGTTTCACGGCGGTAACTGTGAAGAATGCCGTCTTCTGGGATGTGGCGCCGTGTAGATATTGTGTGAACCGACGTTTCGGAAGAACGTATCACCTCCACCTTCAGGGTTGAAAAATCAACGAGCGAGGGGCCAGAGTAAGCAGGTGGCCGCAGACTCTCTACGATAATTACTTCCGAAACGTCGGTTCACACAGGATCTACCCGGGTTTGCAGCCTATTTAAATAGGACGCATAATCTCAGTCTGATGCAGCTGAAGGGCTCTACTAACAACTTGAGTCAGAATAGCACGTCGCCTGTTCGAAATTCCAGCTTAGGACCTGCAGTAGTCGAAACAGGAGTGCCAGGGGTTCAAACACAACTATGCATACAGGAAGTTTTCTTAGGCCATAAAGCTTCAGATATATTCGGGAGGTTCCCTGTTCGAATCTCATGACACTGATTATTGTGAATGAGGTGTTTCTTGATTTTCCCTAGCTGCTCCAGGCGAATCCTGGGATAATGCCTCGAAATAGGTCGCTCAGCTTTCTTGCACATTCTTTTAAACTGACCATTTACTAATCATCCTACCCCTAGACACTATGCAAAATGAGCTACTGACATAAATTTGTGAGTGTACACTCGGTTCATGCGGGGTACACGGTAACGTAGTTGATTGAGACACTGCGCTACAAGCCGGAAAGTACCAGGTTCGATACCAGATGAGGCTATTGGATTTTTAAATTGTCATAATCCTTGCAGTCGCGCTA